TCACTTGGGTTACTGGACATCAATTCGCAGATGACTGAAGATTTTTACATTCGTAAAGACTCACCTTGCCGGAAAGCCCTAAGTAATTTTACTGATGATTCCAATTTCAATCGGGCCTATAATTATTGCTTGTAAATTCGATGAATCGCATTTTTACTGCGGTTATTGATATGTATGATAACCATTTCGTACTGGAACCACATGTATTCCACTGGTCCCTTGCCGGTTTATCGATTCATGGGGTGCTTTTGTTCGTTACTGCTAAGGATATGTGCCAAAGGATCCCGCTTCCTTCAGGTTAGCTATCCGGATGCGATCGACGCCAAATCATTCACTTAATTTTGTGGTATTCGTTTCAGACAGTCACGGGCAAGTGAACACGTACGCACATGTGCACGTCATAGTCAAAGTCAAAGTTTTATTATGGAAATACTTGCACACAGTTGCTTTTCTAGTCCCACAGGGTTTAGCACAGATGAATTGATTCACGGTTCATGGAAAGTAGACGAATATCACAATTTATCCTTCTTTCGTGCACTGCTACGGATGTTGAAATTTAAGACTAGTTAAGGCTTCATCCAGTTTGTGTTTGAAGGAATCAATTGNATCCAAGTAGTGCACACTCGGATGGCGAATAAGTGACGGCGGCATTCTGGTCGGCATTTTGGAGCACTAATTTGAATGAGTGCCTCCTCAGGTGAGTGTTGGGCGACAAGGCAGAGTGAACGACATGGATGATCTGGGTTCTGCATTATTTGATACACCAAGATCAAGTCCCCTCGAATGCGGCGATACTGTGTAGAGTAAATTTGCACTGATTCTAGTCTTTCCGCGTAACTCTTGGAATGAATTCCCCTGGCCATTCTTTGTGGACGTTCCAGAATCTTTCGATCACGCTGCAGCGACGGATTCCACGCTTGAATTGCATACTTCATGTGGGGCTGAATTTAGGCTGATAACAAGCGTGGAAACAACGTAGGTTCATATTTGTCAACTACTCGCTTTGGTAAACCAATATGTCTTAAAGCGGCGGAAGAAGCCCTGGAGCAGTTTGAAGAACAACTTAAGTCGTCTTGGACAGTGGCGCCGAGATTCTTCTCATTCAAGACAGGAAAATACAAAAACCGAATTTTGCGGTGAAGGGATATGACCGTACATTTTTATGCATTAAATTTCATGTCGTTTTCGATCGACTATTGATAGGCAGCGTTAAGTGTTCTCTGAAATGCTGGCGAATCCTCTGGTTTTGTCCCCGTTTTCCATATTTTTGTATCGTCTGCAAACATTAATGTTTGTGGCCCCAGAATGTCCGTTTGGTCGTTTATAAAATCAAGGAAAAGTTAAGGGCTAAGCACGAATCTCTGTGGAACTCCTCGTGCCACGCTGATAGTATCAGAAATCAACCCAGAAACGCAAACCGCCATGGGGCCTTGTTGAAGAAATTCTTCCATCCAGCCCAGTACAGTCCTCGAATTCCATAGTTGTGCAATTTCCTCAGCAGTATTTTGTGGTTCATTCAGTCGAAAGGCTTTGGAGAGATCAAGATAAATGACGTCCACTGTATCACCGTGATCAGCTGCTTTTGTACACTCTTCTAGGGCCAGAAGTAGGTTAGTGGTGCACAATCACCTATGACAAAACCCATGTTGAGCAGGGGATAAGACGTATTTTTCCAAGTGACTCATCGCATTCTCTGTAACAATGGATTCCATGACTTTGGATAATACGAGGAGGAGAACAACGGGATGTTAGTTAGCTGGGTCACTACAACAAACACCCTTGTATATCGGAGAAATTATTCCTTGTTTCCATGTTTGTGGGAGCACAGTTTTGTAGAACATTTGTTAGAATTGTTCACCTAATGACTGAGCTATGTTACTTGCCAGGTTGATAAGGATTTGTGGATGGATTTTATATATCCCCGGAGATGAATTCCTTTTCAAACACTACAGTTTCAATGCTATGATTTCTGGGGGAAAATCAGTTGTGGTAAGCGTTGGGTATGGTATGTCCTCAAGCAACACAGGCAATCGTAGTCCGGTGTTCACAGATGCGGCGAACACTTGAGCGTAATGGCTTTCTATCATTTAAGATACCTCCTTTTTTGTGGTTGAAACACTTTTTGCCACTCTTAACGCTGGAACACCAGACTTAACCTTTTTGGTGGCAGTTGTGTTTGTACAACAGCTTGGGATTTGACATGAATTTAAGCACCATCTTTTCTTGGTGCATTTACTTGTCTTCTCGTAGCAGTTTGGTGCAGTGGTTTCCAAGTTGCCAGTAGGTATACCATATATTGTTTTAAGAAGATATTCCTCTGCGAAATCCCCTTTTTTGTCCGACTTCGAATTGCTTTGAACAGTTGAGCAGGTGATGCGTTTGATCTTTGTCACGCCCTTCACCATGGGACGTCTGATCGACCCTTTTGGTGGACAATGACATAGGCTTGTCGGTGAGCGCGCACACACACACAGAATATGCTAACACCAGTGGCGTTTGACCTTGACATGTCCGTATGAGCAGAGCTCGGTTGAAGGGTTTCGTATGTGATTGCTTGTTTGTCCGGTTTCTCGAGTCGCCTGTGCGTATTCTGCTGGAAACACATGTGTCTGCTTATCGGACTGCAGACTGGCAAAAGTATATGAACTACAACTAAAGGAATTCCGTACTTTACCGTGCGTTTATCTAACCAAGATACAAACTTTGGTGTCACACATATTCAACATATGAGTGGGTAAGTGCTTACGTTATTTTGAAAACTATCGAGACAGTTCTCCGGTAAAACATTCTGCTGAAGCATCAAGGAAATGACGTTCGCAGGTTATCGATTTGAGATGACTATCCTTCGGACTTCACCTTTACCCACAATTCCCAGTTCATCGATTTGGCCATACATTCGAAAGCACTAGACTTGAGTTTCGCTCTTATTGGAGCTCATCAGTAGAACATATTCACTGTCCCGTCTGGGATTTGAACTCCGGAATCATCGCAGGGAAGACGCATGCGTTACCACTGTGCCAACCTGCTCATGCCATGGGTGAACCGAATTGCCCATTCATGTTTGTTCAGGTGTCGTCCTCAGAGATAGTCAATCAGTCGTGTCTACTTAGTCGTACAAGGGATCAAATTACTACGTTAGGGTCCGGGAGATTGTAGTCCGTTCGATGCACTTGATCTGAAATTTAAGTACAAGTCTACAGGAAGCCTGACATGCACTGGGCGAACACCAAAATGTCCATCCTGTTGGTGGAGTCCGCACAGCTGACCTGGCTTCAGTCTGGGCTTCCCTGTTCCCCAGTGGCTCAAATGTACATGTCCTTTACTGTGTGCGATCTCAAAAGAAAAACAAGAAAACGTCAAAACAATAAATAAATATGAAATTCCCAAAGTTGACTGCTTTTTTGTTTTCCCTATTTCTGTTTCTACATTTCACGTTTTACCTATGGTTATTTTGACGCCGTATATGTAAATATTGGTGTTATATATATTATAATAAGTAGTATGTGAATAACTGGAAACAATTTCCCTGGAAGCACACGACCGGTTTCACGGTTCTTGCCGCTCAAGGTTAATGTGAATAAAAACATTTCCTGGATACCAGTATATCAATGAACGGATAAAAGACTACCGGATACACATACCTGATGAGTGGCAAAGCTGCAAAACCGGCCATGTGCTTCCAGGGAAATTTTGTCCAGTCATTCACATACTACTTATTATGAAATATTCTATAAAAACTACCAAGTCACGTTGGTTGCGGTTAGTAGCATCTAACCCAACTGCAAAACAGTGAATCATAACATTGATTCTTCAATGGACTGGCTCTGAAAGAGCTATCTATCCGGAAGTCACCCGGTGTTACGAATAAGGTTATATATATATATATATTTCATGGTCAGAAAACGAGCTTTACAACCTCAAGTGTCTGAAAGAGACTCAGACGAATGACAGGAAAGCAGTGTTGCAAGAGTACATTCAGAAGATCATCAATGCCACGATTTCGACAATTGACGACACTACTGAATTCAGAGGGTATTCGTTTATCCTAAATCGATACCCAAAGGTCCAGGTTTCGCAACTTGGGGCCTTATGGCTGGGGGAACTTTTGGTTCTGAATAGGTGTATATTTGGTGAGAAATCTTCATGTACATTTCTCATGGACGGGCTTTTAATTATACCGGGACGGATAATACCCGTCTATCGATTTTCGGACAGGTTTCTCACTTTGCACAGTACATCAGGGATAGTCTGCTCTCTTATGCATCTGATAGCTTTTTTAGCAATCAGAAAGGTTACTTCTATTTCGGGTATGCGTGAAGTTGCAGAATTATCGCTGTTTGTGACAAACCGACAAAGGTCTCATTGATTTATTTCAATTGGTAGAATTTCGATGCTTACTGTTAAGTATGTGATGGTATGAGCAATGAAAAGTCAGCTGATTAACCGGAATCGTAGACAATGTCGAAGCTTCAGTGTGAACATTTACTGGCATCGAATTACGAGTATGTTCTCACTCTCACGTTTTCTTCGTATTCTCTAACCGCATTTGATTTGACAGTTTCAGACATGTTGACAAACATGAAACAAATCTGTTATTTAGGTAACCAAGTGACTGAACTATCCAGTGCAGGAAGTCAGCAAAACGGGTCGGTTGGAGAAGATTTGATCATCTTTTTTTCGGGAGATTGGGAATGGGATGGAGAATAAAATTTACAATTAGTGAGCAACACGAATGACCTTGTTTGTTAACGGGGGAAGGCCATTCGAGAGATGATTGTGACTGATCAATTCAATGGAATAGAATGTGTCTGGTCGCTATGGGATCATGAAAATCGTTTGCTGTTTCTATCACAGGCCGTGTTCTGTACATTGTATAGGTAAAATATCAATCAAGTAAATATTCCATATTTCCTTGCTGATGGATTTGTTCCGTACAATTTTCTGTGCGTAGAGGCAGAGCTGGTTGTTATGTAATCGATAGACCTCACTGTATGGTAAAATCAGTGTGAATGGTGTTCAGAATCTTGGGGTTCTGTTGCTGCTGGTGCTGCTATACTATCATCACCACCCTCATAGCCGTAATCCAATGGACTTTCACGACCTTGAGCCTCATCTGCGTTATTGATTTCTTCCAATCGACCAATCAGCATGTCACTCAAAGGTCGTGTTGAGCCTGGTTCCGGAGATGGTAGATCCTCTTCGTTTATATGTGAAAGGTCTAGCGGTGATTCGGTATCCACACTGTCTAGGTCATCTTCTTCGAATCCTGATAGTCAGATAAAAATAGAAGAAAGTGCGAATTATAAACAGAAAACTGTAATGCTCAACCCTGAGTAGACATTTATGGATTATTGTTTCGTGTGTAGCCATCCGGNCCGGTGTACTGACGATATCATTACATACGCATTGCCACTTCGGATCAGAGTCTACCGGCCGCAATCGGTAGTTGAATAAACGAAAAAATGAATACTGGATATCGACCTATCTAACTAATAGTTGATAACAAGTGCGAAGTCGATAGTATGTGCTTCACACACATAAACACAAAGACGGACACACACACAAACAGACACTACTTATCTCACAATTTACGGTAAAACAGATTTACCTCATGGAAGATTTCCATAGGAACGTCAAAAGTGGAACAATAAAGAGAACAAGCTGGTTTAAGTAACTCCGATGTTTACAAGCCGGCATCAGCTCTGCACAAACCTCAAGGATAAGCTGCCCATCCTTTCCTCATCTATGCTACTTTACGTTTCCCTTCACATGCACATGTTCGGCAAGTTATGTAGGACGAACGATGAGGCTGTTCTCACAAAGGATCAGAGAACATAAACCGACTTGACTGAGGACGGATTGCAAGGAAACAATAACCAGTGCAATTATGACGCACCTCGCTGATACCGGGCATCAGCCAGACAACGAAACATTCAAAGTCATTTACAAAATACCCCAAAAGAAATCGAAGCACGTTCGGAAACGTCACTTGGAAACGGCGGAAGCTGTAGCAATCAAAATCATAAACCCATCACTATGCAAAACGGAAGAAGATGGCTGCCGTAATCCAGTTGCCTTGGCCTCAATCAAATCTACGTGATGACCCGAACCATAACCTCAGTCATGTCGTGATGACACAACATGGCATGATAAGTTGCAAGTGAAAAAGGTCATCGGAAAATTCCAGAATTGACCTTGGTCCCCTTTCGCCCACTGTCCCCATTTTATCCACTGACGCTGATTAAACGGGCACTGTTGTATTTTCATACTTAACCTCAATGGAACAACCACAATTATTTCTACATTAGTTATAAACACACACACATAACTGTAAATGCCTGAAGACGAAGTTACGAAAGAAAGCTTGTTAGCTATATTGTTTAACATTTAACTTAAATTTTTTAAGATTTGAAGTAATATTTCACAAAGATACCACTGAAGAACTGGCGGCACAAAGAATTTAAAAGTGTAAATATATCACAGATATATTGTATTATTGATATATATGTATATATTGTATTCAGTAGTATGTATATAACTGGACCAGACTGCTTTTGTGGTGATTGCCACTAAGCAGATGCGAGTATCCTGCAGTCTCTCTCTTTCTCTCGCTCTCATCTGGTCACCCATAGACTTGGACCCCAGATGGGAAGTTTCATCCATAACTACTCTAGTCCGCGACATGGCGTAGTTTTACGAAGGTCCCGTTTCTAAGCAATCCATTGACCAAAACCCTGATTGCAAACCAACCATGAGGAGGTGCACGAACCATACACACAACTTCCTGGTTGTGGTAGTGGTCATAGATTCGATTTGGCATCGAGGTGTATTGGGTAACTTGAACGTTTGACTCCGTCCAAAGAGCGTATAATCCGATGAACCGGACACCGGCCCTCAATGGAATACCTCTTTCACACCCCGCCCCGCTTCCTTGCGGGTCAGGCTTTGGTTAGCCAAAGGCTCGGGTTGTGGATTCCTCAAGAGAATTCACCTGTCTCGGCCTGAGAAACCTGGCAGTATTCCGTCTTCTTTTTTATAAAGATTATTCTACCATGATTTGTTTGGCAAACAGTCTGAATTCAGATGTGTGTGAAAATATACATAACTATGTAAAGGTTACAGTTTTGCATGATAAATCATGCCAGTGATCGTGTTCGTATAGCAATATCGTGAGAGTCAATCGGAAGTTCACATTCTATCAGTTATTGGGCTGTGATTTCACCCGATCAGCAACGTAATCCCTCATGTTTCCAGTTCCTCTCAAGTGACAAAAAGTAACGTCAAACTCCGGTGAATACAATAATCCAACTCCGTTCACAAACATTCATCAGTTTTACCTCGCGGTTTGAATCTTTACCTTGATTGCGCACAAATCAGCTAATCATGAGGTTTGTTCACTTGAAACGGATTTCAAGGAAAACAAAATCGGATTTTCATACTGGATGTACAAAACAGCTCTGATCCAGAATGTGAACTCACGATCGACCGCGTCACATAATGGTTTGGGGTTAATGTATCTATCTGTCAGAATGAGACTCAATTTCTAGCCTTGTGGATTTGTGGTAAATCAACTGGAATCTGCTTAGAGGTTTTGACTGATTGGAAGGCTTCTGCAATGCACTTATGAATTAGTCAGCTATGTCTCCTCTCGTTGTCGTTACTGGGTCAGCTGCCTAGCCAGTTATAATTGAAGAT